GGAAGGAAGGAAGGAAGGAAGGAAGGAAGGAAGGAAGGAAGGAAGGAAGGAAGGAAGGAAGGAAGGAAGGAGACTTAACACCAATGAAGTTTTAATAACTCATCCTGCATTAAATCTTCATGCACAGTGGAGATGGGTAGATGGAAGGGCAGCTAGTGACCAGCCTTCATGCCAGACTAAATGATTTCATTTCCAGTTTGGGGAGATGCTGCAAATGGGCTATAACTGCCTGCCCATTTGCTGCCTGCTCTCAGCCTGAAGGAGACTTAGGCTCAGACCTTTACATGATCTGGGGGTACAAATGAGAGGTAGAAGGAAAATGGGTGTTTCAGAGATCCTAGGAGGCCCTGGTAGACTTTACACAAATCCATGCCAGAGCCATGGAGAGGCCAGTCTGTGAGCACCAGGGTAGTGGTGCCTTGGCCTAAACACATTTTGATTCCTGGATGGTAACCTGCTGATTTTTAAAATTTGTGATCTCTATTCTATCTACTTCAGAGGGACCTGAGTTATCAGAGACAATTAGTTATATGCTAAGTAGAATATAAAGCAGGAACACCAAAGAGGAACAAAGAAGAGAGGTCTCTGTCACTTGAGATGAGCTGATCTTTTAGGCTGGGCCCCATTTGCAAGTTTCCTGATAGCTAAGGCAAAAGGGGAACTGAGGCATGTGGTTTGTATTGTCTGACAACCAGAAAATGCACGCTTGCCTATAAAGACAAACTCTTGGTTGGCATCAATTATAAAGGGGAATTTATGGTTACGGGGAGTGTCTCCAATATTTCCTGTGCTAGTCGGATCCTCCAAGAGGCAGATACCAAGACAGGATTAGACACGCAAGGATTTTATATGGGTAAACAGCTGTGGGACAATGGAGAGGGAGCTAGTGAAGGCTAGAAGAGCGAGCAGACCATGATGCGAAGCTGACTCTGAACGGAGGAGAAAGGGGTGAGTGGAAATGTCTTAGATGACAGGTCATTGAGAAGGGCTCAGCAAGGCGACTGGGGAACCCCTGAGCCCAAGTCAGCAAT